GGTAGCATTCTTGCTGGGAGCTCTTGTCAAGTATGAAAAGCACCTTCTGCTGTGGCATTCCCCTTTGCAGGAAAACAATATTCCCTATGAACTGGCAAAACTGGTGTACTCTGTTAACTTCTTTGAACCCAGTAGCAGCTTCAGAAGTGTCCTCTCATCGTACCTAAGAGGGATGCTCCGGTGATTTGCTCTGTCAACTACCCCCCCCCCCCATGTCTTTCCTGCTGGTATTCCCATGGTTCTTGTCTTAGGGTTCTTGACAATTGCTCCAAGGCCTGGCATGTGCAAGAAGCAGTGATGAGTTAATCACTTCCAGATATGAACAGCAGCAGAGCAAAGCCCCCCCCCCAGCGTCACAAAGAGCATCATGAACAATTGCTGTGTGAAGGAAAATGTGTTGCTTCATTTCCTAGATCTACAGTCCCAGCTAAGAGCCCTGTGAACAGGTTTGCTTCTTAAGTGAAAGCTATCTTGTGACCCTGTTCCTTGAATCAGCATGATGGGAAATGGTTGAATGATTAGCTGGTGGGGTTGTTTGACTGTAAGAGCTGTGTAGAATTTCCCATTCTTATTTTATTTGTCATGAAGGGAGGAGTCCTACTAACAGGAAGTTAATGATATTCTCTCTCCCTCGCATACACAATACCCATCCTTATTCAAATTGCCAGAGGGTTGTGAAAGAAAGCAGCCCTGCCTCCTCTCTTGTGTTACCTCTTTGTGTTTAACTTTAAATTAGGACTCTCCCCATGTTGCTCTTGCTCCCAGATAGGGAGAGAAGCCAGGGTTTGTTCTGTTAAGTGCCTCAATGAATATTGGTAAAGCTTCAGCTCGCAGGCTAAGGAAGAGTTTGTGGCACAGCCTGGAAAGGAGCAGGAAGAGCCCACAAAGGGCCTGATCTGACTAGTTGGTTGAGGGGAGAACGTCAAAGGGTCTCCTTACAGCTGCTTGTCCTTTGTGGGCCTCAGAGTCAGCTCTGAGGTACAGAGACTGGAAGTGAGCCTGAAGTCCTTGCTCTCTTACAAGTGCTCTGTTATAAGGAGATTTGGCATTTGGGCTTGCTGAAAGTCTATAGAGGTCAGTGGAGCAGGCTGTTTGAAGGCTACTGGGGAGTCTGTAGTGCAGACAGGAGGGCCACAGCAGGTATAGCAGGGCAACATCAGGCTTCCATTCCACATCCTGCCTGCCCTCAGGCTCGGAAGACTATTTATTTACTTTATTTATATCCTGCTTTTCTCCTCAAAGAAGACCCAAGACAGTTTACATAATTCCCTTCTCTCCCCCATTTTATTCTCACAACAACCCTGTGAGGTGAGTTAGGCTGAGTGTGTGTGGCTGGGATTTGAACCTGGGTCTCCCAGATCCTAGCCCTACACTTTAACCACTGCACCACACTGGCTCCTGACTAAAAGCAAAGCCTCCCTAGTCCCAGTTCCCTAAATCTCCCTCCAGGAATTCCCTGGAGATTTGGGGGTGGGTGGTGTCTTTGGGGAGGGGAGGGCAGAGCTCAGCAGGGATGTGGCCCTATAGAGTCTGCCTTTAAAAGCTGCCATTTTTGTCCCGGAGAACCAATCCCTGGGTGGTCTAGAGATCACTTGCAATTCCAGGAGAGCCCCAGGCCCCACCTTGAGGTCAGCAACATGTTTCCTTAAGGAATTTGGGGGTTTGTATGTATTTGTACTTTGGCACACCCAAAATGGCACTCCTTTGCACTCAGCAATGCTTGGTGAAAAGGTTGGCTATCACTGCCTTACAGTAGAGCCTCACTCTTACGTGGAGTTGTGTATGCAGAAATTTCCTTACTATGAAAGCTGTTAGGGGGTTATGCTTGGGGGGGGGGTACTTGGGTCCCGTCAGCAGCACAGACTGACCTTGCAGATCTCCTTGCGGCTTCTTTTTCTGTACTTTGGATGTTTTTCCTTGTCCTTATATTTGTTGTTAAACTCTGGCTCTGTTTATGCTCAGAAAACAGTAGTTTCCTTGCCCAGTACGGGTGGGGAGAACAGAGTTTCCCAAAGGAACCCGCAACAAACATAGGTTTCCCGTTTTGTTGGAAATCATGTATCTAGGTTCAGTTTGGCAAGGAATTCTGGACTAGTTAGACTGCTGTAACCAGAATCTCTAGAGAATGTAATGTTCTGCTTTTCAGGCTCTTCTGGTTCCCCCCCCCCCTTTCTGTTTCTGGTAGTTAAAATTTTGATCCCGGCTCCTGTCTATTTGCCTCTTGTGCAAATTTCCCAAACTAGAAGCCTGTTTGAACAGATTATGGGGACTATCTCTCTGCTGCTTGTGGTTTCCAGCCCTGCTACCTTCAGTCCCTGCAGTGTCCTCCCTTTGCCATTCTGCAGTAGGGGTCCCAGGGGGCTGCATTCTTTTCTTTTCTAGATTGACTCTGCAAAGCAGAATGAACTATGTAAAATTAAGGAACTTTGCAAATATTTTATTGCATAATGTTGAAATTACATTCAGATGTCCAGGCAAGCTGGAGGAGTACTTATGCAAGCCGTATTGGGGGGGGGGGGGGGGGGGGGAAACAATATCAAGCAGATGTGATAAGGAAGCCAGAAAGGCATTGGTGGCTTCCACGATGGCAGTTTCCCAATGGTTTGCATGTGCTTCTCAACTGTGTTAACTAAAGGTAGGTAATTAAAATGGTGCTTTGGTAGGATGCAGAATGGCAGTCTTTGGGTGCAGTAATGTAGGTCGCTAAATGGGTGGTCTTGGCTGCAACATACACTATCCACAGTGTGGGAGACTGAAGGAGGGTGGTTCTGCTGCTTGCTTGCAGCATGCTTACAGCAGGGGCTCTGGGCTCCTCCTAACTCTTTGTGCCTTTAGGAAACTCTAAGGACATTGATGCCTGCTCGTAAAGATATTCTCTTCCTCCAAGCAGTTGGAATGGTAGTAAAGTCACTTGCAAGAACACTCTGTAACCTTATGTGGGCCTGTACAGGGCATCATATCTTAGCCTCCATCTTCTGTTGTCTACATTTTAAAAAAGGTTTTTGTTCAGTGTTGCATAATATTCTTCCTTTTTCTGAGGTCTATAGATTGCTCCATAACTGCATATAACACTAGCAGTGCACATTTAAACACAAGTGAACTACAAGTCTAGTGTGCATTTTTAAAAATATATATATTTTAAATAATTTGTTATGGTTTTTAAAAACATTATTGGAGTATAAGACAAGCAGTTTCACTTCCTGAAAGCAAGTAGATTATAATTATAATTTTGGGCATCTCTGTCTTTTAAATATTATAATAGTATTTGCTCTGCATATCTTGCTTGTATTCTTCCCCTTTTTGACGAAAGACAGTTTTTGAAGAATACACAGTTGCTTTTAGGATTGTTTCCTAGGCTGCTTTTCAAGCAGGTATACTCAGAAGTAAGACATGTGGTTCAATGGGCTTTCTTCTAGGGAAGTGGCTTTAGGATTGCATCCTTGGTCTAGACTGTCTGACATGCAGCCAGGTAGAAATGGTACAGGTAGGCCTTGCTGTCTTGTTCAAAGGACTCCTCTCAAAGAATGCTGATGAGTCATTGGCCGATTACATCCAGACATCTCATGATATAAAGTTACACAAGTCAGATTTCCAGTTTGCACAACCTTTTGCAGAACCTGTTCTCCTGAGGCAAACTTGCAACAGTTCCAGAGAGTTTATCACAATTCCTAGATCCTGGTTTCTTAGCAGATTTTTTTAAATTGACCTGGTGTCAACTCAGGGAATTGTCAGTCCAAGGACGTGCTAACAACAGGTCACATTTATATTGGTAAATATAAAATGACAGGCTGATATGACCATGGGAATTTTCCATTGCATCTGAATGCTTTTTTTAATTAAGTCCAGGAAAAATGTATGTATGTATTTATTTATTTATTTATAATTCAATTTATATCCTGCCCGCCCCTAAGGCTCAGGGCGGCAAACAATTGGGGCAAAGGCCATAATTAAAACAATTAAAAACAAGATAAAAACATAACAATAGTACAACAAAGTGCTGGTGCTCTGATGTTCTCAGTTCCAAGATGGGTTCCAGTAGGGTGGATCCGGACCAACGACGTAAGTTCCAAAGCGGCAGATAGCCAGTCTTCTTCCCAGGGCCCGCTTGCACCCTAATGGTATCTCTGCCAATTTTTGGTGATGGTGTATTGATGGAACAGTAGTGGCGGCAGCTCCTACTCGAAAGCCTGGCGGAAGAGCTCCGTCTTGCAGGCCCTGTGGAACTGCGCAAGATCTCCTCCGGGAGCTCTTTCCACCAGGTAGGAGCCGCCACCGAAAAGGCCCTGGCCCTAGTCATGGTGAATTTGACATCCCTGAGGCCTGGGGTAGTCAAATGATGTTGGCCCCCCGACCATAGTGCCCTTGGGGGAACATATGGGGAAAGGCGGTCCCATAGGTATGCCGGACCCTGACCATAAAGGGCTTTAAAGGTAAGAACCAGCACTTTGAAGCGGATCTGGTACGCTATTGGCAGCCAGTGCAGCACCTTCAGCACTGGTCTAACTTTCTATTTCAGCTCAATCCCCTCCTCAGTCGTCTAGAATAACACATATAGCCACATATAGGCATATTTTTACTTAATTTTATTAGCTGACTTGCAATTGGTAAAAGCTTTAGCACCCCAATCAATGCAGGAAGCCTCAGGGGCCACCCAGCAGGTTTGCCAACGTATGAGCAATCCCACCAAGGCTCCAAGTATAGAGCAATACCCAAGCACTTATCTGTGGCCTATGCTAAGAGGTGCTGCCCCTATGCTGGACAGTGTGAGGGTTCAGGTCAGGCACTGAAAAGCAAGACTAAGAGAATTCTCTTGCCAAGCACCCAAACTGAACATCCCAGAATGTCTTCATTTGGTTACCTCTTTCTTGCTGAGTGCTTCACTATAAGGACTGGAGTCCTGTGGAGGGCTGAGTTCATGAAACTGAGATGTTGCATCTGCTTGTTTTTAGATCATGGTGCATTTCGAAGGTTAAAACGGCTGCCTCTTATTCCCTCTTCAGGTTGACAAATACCTCTACCATATGCGGCTTTCAGATGAAACTCTCCAGGATGTCTCAACACGGTTCCGCAAAGAGATGGAGAAGGGTCTCGGGGTTGACACCAACCCAACAGCCTCTGTGAAAATGTTGCCAACATTTGTGAGGTCTACCCCTGATGGAACAGGTAAAGCAGGGGTGTCGAACTCATTTGCTATGGAGGGCCAGATTTGACATAAATTGGACTTTGTCAGGCCGGGCCATGTGTGTCATAAAATATAATGCCAGGTAGCAGAGATATAAACTTTATAAAGGATACAAACACAAAGTTTTTTTTACTTAAAATAAAAACATGCCTGAAACATTAGCATTCTTGCAATATTTTGTTTATTTAAGTGTCTCTGATAACTTCACACTTCTTGCTCTGAATTATTGAACCAAATTGTGCTGTAGCCTCAGCCCAGTGCAGGGAGCAGAAGCTTGCCTGAGAGATTGAGTGAGTCTAGGAAAGCAAGCTATGACGCAACAGCAGCAGCAGAACTGAAGAAGAGGCAGGAGACAGCCAATCCCTTCCATGCCTGACAGAAGCCCTCTGGGGGCCTGATCCGGCTCCCAGGCTGCATGCTTGACACCCTTGAGGTAAAGGGTTGATTGAAGCACTGTGCTCAGGAGCTCGGCTTGAGTTCCAAAGATCAGTTCTGGAACATATAAAGTGATAAACTGGGCCTCTGTGTAGGATGGTTTTTCCTTCCTGGCTGTGTTAAAACCAGGGGTCATTTCGTAGAAAAAGAGCTAGGGGAACTCATTAGCATAACTCATTAGCATATGCCACACCCCCTGACATCAGGGGCCCGGCGGTGGACCTGCAAGGCCAGCGGGAGTGTGAGGAAGCCCCGCCAAGGCCCTCCCTGGCCCCAGGCAGGCAGGGGTGGGGAGAGGCGGGGAGGAAGCAACTTACCCTCCCTCTTCTCCTGCCTCCTCCTGGCTGAATGAGGGCTGGAAGCGGGGCGGCCGGAAGCAGGGGGCGGGGCTTCGTCATGTGCCCCGCCCCCCGTACCTCACCCGGGGGAACTGTGTTCCCCCGCGTTCCCCCCCCCCCCGAAATGACCTCTGGTTAAAACCATTCCGCTTTGTTCTCGTGGTCAGTTTCTAGAGGCTAGGCCTTTTGGCTTTGAATTTCTACCCTACAAAATGAGGGATTGTACTTTGTGCCTATTACACATACTCTTTTACTTATGTATATATCTTTTTATTGTATCAAATAAATTAAGAGTATACATAATGGGTACAAGGGGAGCACATCTACTCAAACCATAAAAATCCTGTGAACTTAAGAACTCTGTTTTTCACAGTTTGCTGTAAATTCCATTCTCTGCACAACCCTGTACCATAATGAGTCTAATCTGGAAGTATGTCTGTTTTGTTGATATGTGTACATCTCTGTTACTTTCATCAACCAGTCATGGATTTTGTGCCTTTTTTGCTTCATGATCCTAGCAAAGAACAATCCGGCTGTGGCAATCCGGCTGTGGTAAAGCTACGCCTTGAGGATTTTTAGGCATGTCAGCTACACAGTTTAACATAAAAGCTCTGGTTTAGAGGGAATCTGTGTCTTCTGTACAATGGATATAATTTCCACCACTTGTTTCCAATAACATTTTGCCCATTTACATGTCTACCACATGTGGGGAAAGTCTGCCTTTTGTACCTCGCAAAACCAGCACTTACTACTCCCAGTTCCACAGGAGGGTTGCCAGGTCCCCCCCCCCCCCCCACCCCCCCCCCGGCCACCACTAGGGAATGGGAAGGTTAGATTTGTTGGCAGAGTTTAAATATGCAAAGGATTGGAGCACCAATAGTTCAAGGGAAATAACTTGGTTTATTAAATAAGAATAAACTCTGATAGAACACAGGAGAGGAGAGAGGCTTAACTAACTGACTAGCTACTTTGAGAGACAGGAACGAAGGAAAGTGGGCTCAGCTGGAGTGGGAAGTCTCCAAAGAGCTAGTCAGGAGACAGGAAGGACATAATTTGAAATCGTGGGAAGTCCCTAATCTAGCTGTACTAACTAGCAGTCCTTCAGCTGTCTCCTATAGGCTGTTCTTCTGCACTATAGACCTTGTACATTCCAACAAGATCGCCAGATCCAGGTTGGGAAACTCCTGGAGATTTGAGGATGGAACCTGGGGATGACAGGGACCTTAGTGGGGTACAGAGTCCAACCTGCAAATAATCTGTTTTCTGCAGGGGAACTGATACCTGTAGTCTGAAGATGAGCTGTGATTCTATTGGATCCCCAGGTCCCTCTTTTTTTTTTTTGACTTTTAATATTTTATTTTGTACTCTTTTACAATGCACAAAGCTCAATAAAACATAGCCATAACAGGGAGATATAGGTTACAACAAAAAAATAATTGGAAACATTGGAAAAGCCCAGGTCCCTCTTGAAGGCTGGTGTCCCTATTCCATATATCCTTGCTATCCTGAAAGGGTTTAGGTGCCACTGATAGATCATTTTCATCAGATTTTTCTCTGTATGAGAAACCAGTTATAAAGGTGGTGCCAACAACTTTCCCCACATTATAAGAAAACTATTATCAGGTTTAAGTAATACATTCCATAAAACGGTATACAGGTTTTTTTTAAAGGTGGTCTTCAAACATAGTTTAAATTTTTTCAAATTTGACATAGGCCTTAACACAAAACTTTCCATAACATATTACATAGGTAACCTTTGACTTGCTGATATTCAAAAACCAAAATACTTTAGTTACTATGATCTCTAACATTATTATATGGTATTACCAGGTACTTTTTTATCAGATCTCTATATGCGTTAATTGCAGTCAATTCTCACTTTTTTTAGTGGGGGAAAACCCATGCTTATTTATCTAAACCGTGCTTATCTATCATTAATGACAGAGGCTAAAGGGGAGATTTTGTGTGATAGTTTACTATTTACTTGGTCCTATGTGCTGACTATGACATCTATTAACATATTGTCATTACTGTAATAAAACAACCTGCTTGATTTTCTTATCCAAGGCCATGTTTTCATTGGGACCTTAACAAAATATTGCTCAATACATGCCAGCAAGCTTTCTCCATCATCCGTTCTTTCATCCAGCTCAGTGTGGCAGCTTGATGAGTGCCTCTAAACCGCCATTTAACTTTTTATCGTACAATTTGCTCCAAGAAATCAGAGTCCTTTTTATCTCATATAAAGCCACTTAATTATTGTTGTCAGTCTTTTACCGTTGTATTAGAAATTTTCACTAGTAGATTGCAAATAAGGAAATTTGTCTTGTGGAGAACAATTCTTTTTTATTGTGTTCACCTGACCAGGAAAAGATAAATTTAAGGTTCCCCAGAAGGCCAAATTTTGCCTTTACTTCAGCAAATAATGGGTTATAATTCATTTTATACAGACTTTTATTATTCGTGGTTAACCGGATACCCAAATACTTAATCTGATACACTTTTTTTTCATGCTAAAAATCCAGTTATCTTTTTTACACCCACTTACATCCATATTTAAACAAAAGGTTGCAGTTTTATCTGTATTCAGGTTGTATCCTGAGACTACTATATTGTATAATAAGATATTTTAATATTTTACTGGATTTTTAAATATCTGTCATAAAGATAATACTGTCAGTGTATAAACTTTATATTGAGATACACCTACATTAATTCAATGAGGGGCTGTGTTTGAAGGGGAAGGTAACCTTTTTCTAAACCCTGTTTATCTCAGTTGTGTTTGAAACTTGAGAAATGGTAATTGTGAATAGTTTTTGAGAGCCTTAAGATTGGAGAGAGGCTTTGCTTTCCATGATACAGGCTGAAGTCCTTTGTCCCACCATCACCATCACCTCTTGTCCCACCATCACCTCTAGTCAAACAGGTTTTGCAGGTATTGGAAATACTACAAAAACCTGTTTAACTAGAGGCAAAAGGAGGGAGAATGCAAATGCCCTTTTCAAGCCACCACCTCTTCCCTTGTCCTTGTCTTGCCCTTTTGCAGCGGTGGTTTTGCTTTTGTGTTGCACTAAGGCAAAAGCCTTGATTGTTAACAGGCAGGCTGATCTCACTTGGCAGGAAGTCATGGGTTGGGAACCTCATGTCTCTCAGTCAGCACTTCTGGGGGATGGTTTCTGTAAGTCTTTGTAAGCTTTTCAAGTTACTGTAACAGTCAGTACAGCAGAAATCCTGCAAAGCTAACCTGTGCTACCTCCGTCCCTCTTGCTATTTCTCTGGCTTTGAGAGTCACAAAGTTTACTGAAGTGTTGTATGTAACAGAAAAGTTTGCATACTGTGTAACAGAAAAGCTTCCATGGCAGAGTAGAGATTCAAACCCAGGTCTCTCAGATCCTAGTCTGAAAACTCTAACATGTGGTCCAGTGTTATGACATAAGAAATGTGGTAAAGGAAAGCATTCTGAATAATAGAAAGAATTCTTAACCTCATGCTACTGGATCTCAAAAGGATTATTTCCAAGGATGAAAAAAACACTGACTTGAACTCTGGAATGTGCATTTAAAAAGGAGAGTGCCTCTGAACATGCTTGGAGTGCTACCATGTGACCGCAGTGCACCAATGTTTGGGTTTTGGAGACAGAAAGCATGATGCCCAGATAGTCTCTTATAGTAGATTGAAACCTATTTAAAAGCTCCTTTCATTTCCACAAGACATTGAATTCTTCAGAGAAGTTCAAGCCTGGTTTTGGAGTTGAGGGTGATCTGATAGCTGTGCTTTCAAAGTCAGCAGTAAGCAAAGTTTTTGGGGTCCTTGGAGGGCATGCAGACTGTTGCTGTTAAAGGGAGGGAAATTATAAGCTTTTTGACAGATTGATGAGCGTGTTAGAAGTTCTTGGCCTGCAGCTCAAGCACTGGGATTTCATATTCCAGGAAAGACTCTGGCAGCTGGTCACAAACACCCTGCCCCCTCGACCCCTTCACAGCTGTAAACAAGCTGCAGGAGAGCTGGGTTCAGGCCAGCTGCCTTATGAACAACACAACCATTCCAACTGGCGAAGACTCTTAGCATAGATGGCTGGTTCCAAGTGGAGGATCGGCCACCTGGCAGGCCCTTTCAACAAGTAACTTAAGATGTGACTCTTTGCTAGTTTGCATGGTTGATACATGCATTTACTCCAAATAGGCAGGCAAAACCATTCCCAGAAGTAAGGACGAATCCAGTGAAGGGTCATTTTAAGAACAGCAACTGAGAGCTGTGGTGCAATCTGTGGCATAGGCTGTGCCAAGAAATACATGGCTTCTGGGGGTGGGGAGGGGTGGGGATAAGGATTCTTTGGGATGTTGCAGAATATAGATACAGATGTGTAGTCAGGCCCAGTAATCATCACTAATCTGGTCCCCTGTGGTGAGTAAGCATTCCACCAGGCAGGGGAACTTTTCTGAACTGGAATGGAGAAGTTTTGCCTTTAAATTATATACCAAATTTCCTGCCTTTCACACAAGAATCAACATTGCAGGATAGTGTATGCCTCTTGTCAGAGCTCTTGCTAGTTTAGCATTCATCTTAGGTTAGGGGTTGCACTTTCTTGCTCCCATGTTATAGTTCTTGCTGAGGTCCCACGAGTCGTTTGTCCTCCTTCCTAAGAGAGCTGTGGTTAATTTTCCCCACAGCTCTGACATTTTGTTGTTTGAATGCTATGCAACCAAATGATCTATATGACTTTTGACATTGGTCACCAAGATCTGATGGAACAGCTGCCCTCTCATGAATGCTAGGAACCAGTGTAGATTGATGGGAGCAGAAGTTTCTGAAAACAAGGAATAAACTAGCTGAAGTGACACTTTTTTAATATCCCAACTGTGCATTTAAGTGTACAGTCCAGGAGGAAGTTGTCATTTGAAATGAGTGTATTAATTCCTGGTATGTTTCTCTCCCCCACCCCTCCCAATTTGATTGCAGAAGAAGGCGATTTCTTGGCTTTGGACCTTGGTGGCACAAATTTCCGGGTGTTAAGAGTCAAGGTTTCTGATAATGGCAGCAAGAAGGTGGAAATGGAGAACCAAATATATGCTATTCCAGAGGACCTCATGCGAGGCAGTGGAGCACAGGTAGGCTGAACTGGTTTTCCTCAAGTTGTGTGACAATTCTAAGTGTCTGGGCCAAACCAGCTGTGATGCTGGAGGTTCCATGAGAAAGAGGTACTTTTCTCCCTTTCTCACAATACAAGAACTCGTGGGCACTCCATGAAATTGCTGAGCGGTCGGGTTAGAACTGATAAAAGGAAGTACTTCTTCACCCAAAGAGTGATTAACACTTGGAATTCACTGCCACAGGAAGTGGTGGCGGCTACAAGCATGGACGGTTTCAAAAGGGAATTAGATAAGCATATGGAGCAGAGGTCCATCAGTGGCTATTAGCCACAAGGTATAGATAGGGGCTCTGGGGCAAGTGATGCTCTGTCTTCTTGGTGCTTGGGGGGGGGTCAACAGTGGGAGGGCTTCTAATGTCCTGGCCCCACTGGTGGACCTCCTGATGGCACCTGGTATTTCTGACCACTGTGTGATACAGAGTGTTGGGCTGGATGGGCCTTTGGCCTGATCCAACATTGGCATCTCTTATGTTCTTATGTTCTTATGATAGGAGGTCCCTATTATTTAAAGGGGGACAATGCTGGAAACTCCCAGCATCCACATATGTTTTGGGCCCAGTAACTCTCTTTCCTGGTTACTGAAGAAGGAAGCTAACATTATGGTGGGGTTGGCTTTCTTTCTTTCCAGAGTCAGAAGGGAGAGATAATGCTTGGTGCTTCACTGATAGCACTTTATTTAAAGTGGGTTGGCATATCATCACTTGCCTGGTTGCCACAAAGCAATTATGCAAGGAATTTGATCTGTCTCTTTCTCTATAGCTTGATCACAGGAACTGACAGATATATATGTGATACCTAGTACATTTTTTGCAGTAAAGCCTACTGTGGGCTACTAGTTACTGAGGTTTTATTTCCAAAGCTATTCTGAAGGGGACTGATATGCTAAGTCAACACTCTGAAATTCAGATACTCTGTTTAAAGTGCTGTATTTTGAATCCCAGTTGGCTGTTGGATCAGTTTGGGCATGTCAGTGAGAATGACAGCCCACATGGTCTGCCTGCCTGCCTGCCTTCCTTCCTTCCTTCCTTCCTTCCTTCCTTCATCCTAGATGGTGAGCAGAAACAAGCAAGAGAGCTGCAATCCAGAGAGTGGTTTCTGTGGGCTGGACTTGATTTGAGATATGTATCTTGATGACCACAACTCTTGAACTTGGTTTGGAATGGCTGGTTTCTCATCCAGCACATTTCGGCTGCTGAATTAAATCTCAGAACATTCATTTTCAATTTCCCTCTTAGCCACGTATTTGCTTCAGATCTTTCCTGTCCTTTTGCCAGATTTTAATACATAACTAAGTCCTACATAAGATCTGTCTCCCCACATTGCCCATCGTGCCATCATTTGCTTATGAACCATCATCACTCAATCTTTGGGGGAGAAAGAGGGATTGCCAGACTTCATAGGAAGTCAGCCAGCAAGGAGTGGCTGAAGTATTTGGATCCTTTTTATGAATTTGTTTTGTCTGTAGTGAACCATCAAAGATTCAGTCTGGAGGGACTCCCAGTCTTGTATGCTTGTGGGAAGTTGTTAAATTGATTCTGTCCCCACAACCACTGCAAAGATCAGACAGCCTTCAGACAATGGTCTGCTGAATTGGCCAGCAACTCGCCATATAACCAGTATGTGCCCCAGAATGACATAAGGGCCTATTGGCTATATTCAATCCCTCTTCCCTCCAGTTCCTTCTGTCCTTTTCTCCTGAAGTTTCACTTGTGTGAGTTATGACATGGGATTAATGGAAGACTGCGCAAGCTGAGGAAAGGCTCTGGTAGGCCAGATATAGACCACAGCCCTCAGTCATTGGTTCATGTGCTAAACATGTTCTCGGCAATACAAGGCTTGGCTAGTTGTGTGTTTATAACATTAAGGGATTTGGTAGGAAATACACTTGAACTCCATTTTCCTTTGTTGGCTACAATTATTCCCGTATTCCTCCTACTGTCATTTTTCTACTTTGGGGGTCCTGTGCGTCCCAAAATGTGCAACAGGGAGTTCTGGAATCCAATAGCAGAAGGGTACAAGTGACTTACCCAGGAAGTGGCTCAGACCTTCCGTCATGGGGATGATTTCCCCCTCTTCTTTATTGTTTTGCCTGCTCTTCCTTCTGCTAAACAGTCTCACAGCTCTCAGTTAACCTCATTCTTTCTCATCTGTAGCTAATTCTTTGCTTAATGCTCCTTTTCTTTACTCTTCTCAAGTTTTGGCACAACCATTTGTTCAGCAAAGCTGCTTTTTATTGTTTTTTGTTCTTAGTCTTAATTATTAGGCCTCTTGCTTCTCCCGTTTATTCTTCTGCTTTTCACTTTCATGGCTCATAAATTTGATTGTGTGACCTTTGTTTCTTTTCATTTCTTTGTCTCTCCTTCGTGTGTCTATAGATGATTTGTTCTTCATCCTATTCTTGGCTTTCTGGTAGAACAAAGTTTGAGTTCAGTGGCACCTTTAAGACCAACAAAGTTTTATTCTGGGTATAAGCTTTCGTGTGCACATACACTTTTCTGGTGTTCCTTAAGTTAGGGTCGCCATTCCCCTGTTGGGGGTGGGGGATTGCCTGGTTTTGCAGACTCCTGCCTGCCACTGGCCAGTTGACTGGCAGGAGGAAATTCACACACACACACCCAACAGCAATGCTGCACAATGTGTCTATGTCATCCAGAAGGGATGTGGGCATGCCAGGGGCGACACTCTGGTTTTTGGGCAAAACTCTATAGTTTGAGGGCAGTTTTACATAGGTTGTGCCCCAAAACCAGAGTATTGACCATAACGTACTTATGTCACATCCAGATGCCACAGGCACGGTGATGCTTCTGGCTCCCGGAACATCGTCCACCGCCAGCATCTCTAAGGGATCTGGCAACCCTACCTCAAGGCTTGGTCTTCTTTTGTTTCTGTGTCTAAAGAATGTTGCCCCTATGTTATTCATAGCTTCTAATTCCAGTTCTAATCTTTTTGTTGTCTACTCATCTTCAAGTGTAATCTAATTAAAGGAGGGTAATCTAATTAAAGGAGTTTCCCTACTCCCCTTCCCCATTTGGTGCCTTCTTGAGTTTTCATTGTTGCTGGCATTACTGCCTTTTCCTTTTCTTATGCTAGAACTCTTGATGTGCTTTTTGCTTCTCTTTCTTTGATCTATTTATTCCATTGCTAAATCCAGTCACTTTCAGTGTTTTCATCTTTCTATGCCTTTCCAGTCTAATGTTGAGCTTCAGTGGATTTAGAAGGGCGTAACTCTTTTTAGGACCACGCCATTGGCTATCTCATTCCCATTGATTTTTATCTTGTTTGCATTATTGTAATTCTTTGTTTGTTATTCCCTTATCTCATCTTAGGCCTCTTGTTTCTCCCTTTCATTCTTCTGCTTCTCACTTTCATGGCTCATAAATTTGATCGTGTGACTTTCTCCTCCTTTTTCTTCATTGATTTTGCATTTGGTTCAGCATTTTCTTACTAACATTTAAATGCATCCATTCCATGGTTATTCAACTTATTTATTTATTTAGATATTTATGCTGGGGGGACTGGCTCAGTAGTTGAACATGTGCTTGGCATGCAGAAGGTCCCAGGTTCAATCCCCAGCATTTCCTGTTAAAGGGATCAGGTACTGAGTGATGTGAAAATCCTCTTCCTGAGACCCTGGAAAGTTGCTGCCAGGCTGGGTAGACAATACTGACCTTGATGGACCAATAGTCTGATTCAGAATAAGGCAGCACGCACGCACACACACACATTTTATACCCCCTTTAGTTTTCTCCCTAGTCGGTACCTAAAACATCTTAGAGCACTGATTCTCCCCTACTCCATTGTATTTTAATAACAACCATGCTGTAAAATATGTCAGGCTAAGAGTGTGTGACTGGCCCAAGGTCACCCAGCGAGCTTCCATGGCAGAGTGGGGATTCAGGCCTGGGTCTCCCAGGTCCTAGTATGACACTGTAACCACTATACCAGGGGTGTCAAACATGCGGCCTGGGGGCTGGATCAGGCCTCCAGAGGGCTTCTATCAAGCCCGCAGTGGAACTGGCTGTCTTCTGCTTCTTCTTCCAGTTCTGCTGCTGCTGCTGCGTCATCATAGGTTTGTGGCTTACAGATACACACCTGAACAGCATACTCAGGATTGCAACAGCACAGGCATTTTGATGCAGTAATTCAGAGCAAGAGGTGTCAGTTATGAGACATTGTTAAATAAACAAAATATTGCAAGAATGCTAATGTTTTAAGCATGTTTTTATTTTAAGTTTAAAAAAGCCCTTTGTGTTTGTGTCCCTTATTAAGTTTATGTCTCTGCTGCCTGGCATTACATTTTATGACACACATGGTCTGGCCCAACAAGCTCTCATTTATGTCAGATCTAGCTCTCATAAATGAGTTCAACACCCCTGCACTACACTGTGGTGGCCTCCACTTTAATCTCCACCATAGTATCTCCACTCTTTGAGCTCTCTCAAAACCACAGGTTTCAACTGCTTTACCTGGTTGCATTTGTCCTCTTTGGTGATTTCCCCTTTTCTCGGGAATGCTCTGCCTATTAGCATCCAGTATTTTTTTACCTTTTAAGAAATATTGAATGCTTTGACTGTACAATTGATATCCTTCTCCTCAACCCCCTTTTCAACTTTCTCTTTTTCCTTTTTAAAAGGTGTTACACGATTTATTAGATTGCAAGCAGCCAGGCATGGTTATGGGTTTTTAAACTTATTTTGTGCAGCCTCTAGTTGTTATAGCACAAGAATAATCATATTAAATGGCAGAGAGAATTGGTAAACAGACTACTCTGGTGCAATAAGGAAACAAATAGAGTGCTCAAAGAACATGAGTCTGGGTCAATGTAGCTGGCAAAAAACCTGCACAATTGGTATCTGCTCCAATCACAGCAGAATGTTTGTGTGTCCCAGAGACTCTGTGTTCTTCTTGGGTATGGTTAGTGGACAGGAGAGGACTTTTCTGGTGTAGAGAGTAGGCTGGTGACTTAATGGGAACAATCTACAATCTTGGGGGCCACTGAGAACTTTTGGTGGCAAATGGGGTACATTTGGGATTTTAGGAAGCTTTTAGGTAGATCATAGACGAGTTGCCCCGATGCAATGATATCACTACCATTTTGTGCTAGCAGCCCTATGTGGAGTGGGGTGGTGTTTCTTTTGTTTTTGGTTGAGGAATTTAGCAAAAAATACTCAAGGAGGAAAATGAGTAACTATTGCTGAACTGAAAACGAAAGAGCAGCAAAGAGGTGACAGAACTTCTTCTTCACCATCTTTTCACCAGTTCTCTTTTCTTCTGGAAAAATAGTGATTAAAAACACACACACACGTTGCGACTGAACTATTGTACTGCTGTGCTGGTGGCACATGCTCAAGCAGCAGAAGGAAGAGTAAAGCGGTGCTCAGCCTGGAAAAGAAAGAGCTGAGGTTCCTCTGGGAGGGGAATGTACATTAAAGCAAGTCTGCCGAGTCCTCTTGCCCAAGGCTAGAAGCAGTGTGTGTATGAATAGTTGGAAAAAATACCAAGCTTTTCCTCAGCTAGATTTTTATTATTATTTGTTAGTCTGCTGAATCACTGTTATTTTGGAAGTGGATGTAAATGAGAGCGGCAACAAGAACGTATTTTTTGGTACCGTACTTATTTCCTGCACAGAGCTCTAGTAAGAGGTGCTGAGCTCTACCAATCCTCTCCTGCTCCAGTACAGCAGCTAGGGCTCAGCTGAGTGCTGCAAAGCCCCAAGGGAACAGCCGACCCTTGACCCCCTGGCTGCACAGCTGATAAATGGGCGACTTAGGCAAACTTCATCAATAGAAGCTTCAAGGTCCTTGCCAGGTTTTCCTACCCATCTCATTTCTAAAAAAAATAAAATAAATCTATTTAATTTTTAAAAATAATCAAAGGCACAAGTTTTTACTTATTTATTCTAAAATAAACAACCCTAACTCTGGTATGAGTTGCCACCAGCAAATGGGCTAACCAAACCTTGGGGTGAGTCCAGCCAAACGTGGCCCAGCAGTATTGCCGTCTTCATACTTGCCCCCCTCAGTGAAGACCTTATCAAGTCTCCTCTGACCAGGTCTGCAGAAGCTCCCTCATATAGTATGAAGCAGGCAAAATCTCATGGCCAGTTAGACTAGAGACTGCCCCCAGATTCCTGCTTGTCCCTGAAGAGACCAGCTTATACTGTATACAAACTACTACCCACAAGTGTTGATGTACAAGTAAACACACATTCAGACCATATACTTCACATTTACTTGTTGCCTTTTAAAGGCAACTTTTACTGGCAATTTTGGTCAGAACCAGCATGACTTTTAAAAAATTCTCTTTACATATTGCAACAAAAAAGTCTCATAAGTTAAGAGAGCCAGTTTGGTGTAGTGGTTAATCTGGGAGAATGGGTTTGATTCTTGGGAGAGCTCTCTCAGCCCCACCTACGTACCTCACAAGGTGTCTGTTGTGGGGAAGGGAAGGGAAAGGGATTGTAAACCACTCTGAGGTAGTGAAGGATGGAGTATAAGTCAGGTAGGTACACTTCAGGTAGTGAAGGATGGGGTATAAGCCAATCTCTTCTCCTTAACAATAAATATTCAATACTAGTAGATGATGATTGCCCTGTGCAAGCACAGACGTCTGCTGCCTCCTGAAATCCAAACTAGAGGATGCAAATGAACTGCATGCCACTCCTGGATTGCTTTGTGTTGTACTCTCGGGAGGGGGGTGTTCTATGTCTCAAGTTTTAACTAATGAGCAAACTTATTCAGTTTTTAGACTGTAAAAGAATCAGCTTGGCTTACAGTACACACGTGCTAAATATTCACCTTTCTTGGTGGCTCAGAGGTTCCATAATCATGCAGGGATCCCCACTCAGCCACTGATGCTTACTTGGGCCAGTTTCTCTCAACTTAACTCACAGGGTTGCTATTAGAGTAAAATGGAGTAGGGGAGAAACACTTTTGCTGTGTGGAGCTCCTTAACTCAAAGGTGGGATAAAAATGTAATGAATAAATAAAGTACTCAATTGCTTTATCTGTTTCTGGAACACACTAAAAGAAGAGCATTCAGGCTTGATTAACCTTACACAGTCTGTGATTTCTGCAATTTTCTACTGGAGTTCTTAAATTTCTGCCATTAGCTTGCGACTGAGATTATTTGCAGATCCAAGTGATCCACATTTTTTGAGATCCGGATGAATTCAGACTTCATTTTGCCTACCAAATAAGTCAAGTAATAGGAAGATAAAATCAGGACTTCTGAGTGGCGTTTGGAAAGAGGTGAATTTGCAGCAAGGAGCACTAATGCAAGATGACCATGTGTCTTCCTGTCTGTCCTGCAGCTCTTTGACCACATTGCAGAATGCCTGGCCAGTTTCATGGATCAGCTGCAGATGAAGGACCAGAAGCTGCCTCTGGGCTTCACCTTCTCCTTCCCTTGCTACCAGACCAAACTGGATGAGGTAAATGGAGGTCTTACCTGTACCTTACCATATTGTTCTAAGGATTGCTGTGATGGTTTTGTGAAGTATTCTGAACGTTCATAGTATTACCAATATGTCTTGATGAAATGCATAATATAGACCATTTACCATACTACAGTTTAAAAAATAATAATGAGGAAGAGCCATTGATCTTGGTGTCATATAAGTGGAATGGGGTCAAGAGTTCGATTTCATAATTACCAGATGATTCCAGGACAAACTGTAATATAATGTGAGCACAGATTCTAGGCTTAGGGAACGATGCCACTGCACTACAGGTTTTTTTGAGATGTGATTTCAATGGTATGTTTCTGTTTTATGGATAGTTCTTATGCTGCTTGTATTTTAATGGCTTGTGTTTTAGTAATGTGGATTGTAATTGTAGGCCACTTTGAGCAGGACTCTGACGAGGCAGCATAGAAATATTCTAAATAAATAAATTGCAGTTTTATTCATCTTTTTTTTTTTAACAGAGCATCCTTGTGACATGGACCAAAGGATTCAAGTCCAGTGGTGTGGAAGGGAGGGATGTGGTTTCCTTGTTACGGAAAGCCATCAGAAAACGAGGGGTAATTGTTATAATTTCTTGTCATTATCTATTTTTCCTTTCCCCCACCTCCTCCCCCAGTCTGTCTTAGTTGCTGAATTGTAAGTTTGTGTGCCCTTGTTCTACCCCCCCCTTTTTTTAAATAAATAAATAAGTGAAAACAAGGGGTAATTTTAGCATGATTTTGTCTGAAATCAGTTTCTGTAAGCCAGAGGTTGGTGATGCCCCCCCCTCCCCGTGACAGAAGCATAATCTGCCGTGGTGTGCTGGTTGTGCCACTTTTGATATTGGTTGTCAAATTTTGCAGACTTTTGCATTGTTTCATGACCTGTTCAACCACACATGGTAGCAAGGTGAACAGAAGTGTCTGTGTGTATGGAATGGGAAACAGAAAATGGTACTTCTTTTCTAGCATCCTTAACTAATCTGAACTGCTTTTTTCTCCAGCTTGAAAATGGATGAGAGTTTGGGCTGCCAGCTGGGAATCTGAGGAAGGGTGTTAATTAGTTTTTGAATGTCCTAAATAGGGTTAAGGATGAAGGCAAATGCAGTACTGAATCTTGTTAACTGCATTGTTGACCATGTAAAAACGGGGGGGGGGGGGGGTTGACCCACCACATCCTTGCAAGGATGACTTGATTGCCCTGTCCCCAGACCTGAGGCCCTGAAACAAATATCCTTCTGGTAGTTTGACTGAGACTGGGTTTGAACTCTCACGTGCAGTAGAACACACCAATAAAAGCAACAGGCTTTATTTAAAAGATTTAATAAATGGTTCAGGCTTTAAGCTACAGCAAGAACAAGCAGGTGCAATAAAATAACAAAATCTGTCTTCCTACATATACATACATATGTGAAGGCAGGCAGGTTACAAGATCTTCAAATCAGCATAAGTAACAAAGCAGCAGGTTGGAGTTGCAGCAAGATGGTCCCTGACCATGATGGTATTAATGGGCCATGCTTGGGAAATACTTGTGTAAAATGATTATAAACTAATTTATAGAAAACTGGATCACTGACCCTATGACCAGTGTAAGCCAATCAGGAACATGATCCAAAAGATGATTCTGGAAGAGCAGGACTCCCCCCTCCTATCTGAGTATAGTTAAGTCAGATCACTGTGATATTCAAAGGTGCGATCTCAAGCTTTTCATCTTGGCTTGGGAACAGCAGAAGAGTGATAGGCATTTGACATGGAAGTCACCCCATGTTATTCTTTAACGCTTAGATGGCCCATCAGAAGACAGGCTATTGCTTTAAATTTATGACATGGCCAAATGCTGATTTTAAACTGTCAGGCTGATTGAGACAGAGGTGACCATCTCTCTTGACAGACTAAATGCATTAAACTGATCTGGTTGCTTTGTTGTAATTATGTAATCTGCTTTGATTCTCAGTGAGAAAGACAGACAATAAATAAATCTGCTGCTGGAAACCAAGCTATGTGATTGGCATAGTAGTCATACTGAGCACTGGTTCAGCCAGTTGGGTGGGCGAGTGGGTGGTCATGGGCTCAGTGAAGCTGTAATCACTCTTCTCCTCCCACTACCCAAATATGGGTTTCTGCATTCTTCATAATGTGTGATCCTTGTGCATGTCCATGTTCATTTGGGAACCAGAAGTGTAGTTAGAGTTTCACTGTGAGAAATTCTTTGGGCTTTCTAGTTGAGTAGGAGAATGGCTCCAGCCAATCAACACTATCCACAGCTTGGTTACTGATGCTTCTCCTTTCTAGAGAGGGTCAGGTATGTGTGAATTAAATGTAGTATTCCTCATCCAGCTTCATGGCTTTGCACCTCATATATACCTGGATATTACACCCTTCTTCAGCAGTGAAAGTGTAATGCGCATGCCTGTACCTAATCTGGCAAGTGCAGGCTGAAAACATCTGAGGAGTCAATTTCCCCCCCAACTTCTTGTACTGCAGGACTTTGACATAGATATCGTCGCTGTGGTGAATGACACTGTTGGGACAATGATGACCTGTGGCTATGATGATCACAACTGTGAAGTTGGACTTATTGTTGGTAAGATGTAATGTCTGGGAACAGGAAGGGTTCCTCTGGGATTCAGAACTGGAATTAAACCCAGTTTTGTGGGGATTTAAACCCCTTTATGCCACAAATAACTGGAACTTGCTAAAGTATTAGAACTACACACAAACCAAAGGTGAGGAATAGTTCAGATCCAAGTTTGTTTCCAAATGGAGATCATTTGATCAGTTCACTTTATCTTAACTGTTGGTTTTTTGAGCTCCCATAAGATACGTTTGTTAATGTGTGACGACTTTAATTTTGTGCTAATGGTATTTTTTGTAGTTGCATGCTGTCTTGAGTAGTCAATTTAAATCATGGACATTAATTAACTGAATAATGGAACTGTTGAGGCCCTTTGTCTGTTCTTCTGAGCTTCCATGGCTTCTGTTAATCTTTTATTTAGGCACTGGATCCAATGCCTGCTACATGGAGGAGATGCGCCATATTGACTTGGTGGAGGGAGATGAAGGGCGCATGTGCATCAATATGGAATGGGGAGCCTTTGGGGATGATGGGATCCTCAACGACATCAGGACTCAGTTTGACCGGGATATTGACATGGGCTCACTGAATCCGGGCAAGCAACTGTGAGCAGAACTCCTGGACTTGCCTTCATCTGGGGTCTCGCTGTGATTGTCTGATTGGCTGCACTCAGATGATACAGCAAATTTCTATTTGTCTAGATACAAACATGGTCTGTTATGCTTGTGGACTCTCACCCTCCTTTCCTTATATGTGATCTGAAGTCAGCATGGTTTTGGAAGCTTTTGTCATGGCGTCCAGTTGTGGGGTGCTTGGGCAAACTGGAGTTCATTTCCTTCTCCAAAACTGGGATTCTAACCCATGGTTTAATCCCAGTTCAGAATCCTGGTTTTTGGAAGAGAGGACAGACTCCTGTTTGTCCGAGTGCTCATCCTTGGATGTTATAGCAAATCAGTATTTGATTGAAAGCTTCCAGAGCTGTCTGTCACAGTCCATGTGTGAGCAGGTTAGAGAGAGGACAGGTGAGCCTCAAGCACAGTTTGTGTCTGTCACAGGCAAGCAGAGGTTTGTCATGATGTCTGAATGCAGCCTCTGTAGGGGGCAGGGGATGGTTTGTGTGGCTTATGGCATAACAGCTTCCAGAAAGCATCCTGCTGCCTTTGGGAAATACGGGGTTTGGAGATTTGTTAGCTGTCTTCCTGAACTCGGTCCCCTCTTTGCTTCTTGTAGAGCAAGATAAAGTTTCTCTAGCTACAGTAATCATTTGACTTGATGAAGTGAAATCCAGGGCTAGAAATGCATGCCCATATATTGTGTTTGTTGTGGTAGTTAAATGATGGACAATGTAACACTTGAATATGGCCAGCATATTCTGTCTGCTGAATACTCATCAGCTTTTTTCACAACTAGTTGATTGGTCTCTTCACCTAAAGGCAGAAGGAGCCCCCTGCTGACTGAACTGTCAATGCATCTCTCAGCGATTTTGTTTGTTTGCTTAAAGCCTGGCATTTGGCAGGTACATAATGATACGCTGATTGCAGCCTATGCTGAGGCTGGGCAAAAAAGAGAAAGAATCCAAATCAAACCCCTTTCATTTGAAGAAAAATTCAGGGGGGTTGGTGTGAAGCAGGAGAACAGTGTTTGAGTATGGCGGCACCTTTAAAACCAACAAAGTTTTATTCAAAGTGTAAGCTTTCATGTGCAAAGCACGCTTCTTCAGACAAATGGTTGCGCTTGGCCCCTCCCCCCTTCCTGCATCCAGGTGGCTGAACCAGCCATCAAGGTCTTCGGTTTCTGGTATGTGTTTGGCAGGAGACATAATAACTGGAGCTCTAATTCTGTCTCATGTGTTGGGCTGCATTGCAGGTTTGAGAAGATGATTAGCGGTATGTACATGGGTGAGCTGGTCAGGCTTATCCTGGTGAAGATGGCCAAGGAACATCTCCTCTTTGGTGGGATGCTCTCATCAGACTTGTTGACAACAGGACACTTGGAGACCCGATATGTCTCTGCTATTGAGAAGTGAGTGAGTGAGAAGGGGGCCAGCTCTTGCATCATATGTGGCTTCTTATGGGTGGCAAGGCATTTTGGAATCAGGCCCCCTGAAGCTGTGCACGCTTTCAAACTCTTTCTTGTCCTCTGAATCTATAGGGAAAAAGACGGCCTACTAAAAGCCCACGAAATCTTGACAAAGCTGGGCCTGGACCCATCCCATGAAGACTGTGTTGCCACCCAGCGCATCTGTGAAATTGTCTCCACTCGCTCAGCAAACCTCTGTGGTGCTGCCCTGGCTGCTGTGCTTCGGCGCATCAAAGAGAACAAGGGAGTTGACAGGCTGCGTTCCACTGTTGCAGTGGATGGAACTGTGTATAAGAAACACCCACAGTACGTGAATTACGTATTTTATTTATATCCTGCTTTTCTCTCCCCAGTGGGTCCAAAGCAGCTTATATCATTCCCTTCTCCATTTTATCCTCACAACAACCCTGTCAAGTAGATTAGGCAGAGAGAAAGTAAGTGGCCCAAGGCCACTCAGCAAACTCCCATGGCAGAGTGTGGATTCAAAGCTGGGTCTCCCAGATCGTAGTCCAACGCTCCAACCACTACACCACACTGGTTCTCTAAGGGGCGCAAATGAAGTGGCACTAACATATCTAGATGTAGACAAACCCAGGTTATTCTCACCTTGTTCTGCTTTCACACTGTTTCCGTATCAGTCCCTTTCCAAGAAAGAAGGCTGACTTCAGGGAAGTTAAGAGGAGTAATCTTTGAATGCTGTGGTCCAAAGGCAGACAGTGGTGGTAGATGAATGCTTCCTGAAAAGGGGCTTGGAAGCCTCAGCTGATGGGAGTGTCCTCATAAAACACTTTGGGAACAGGGTCAGGAGTTCCTTTTTGAAGAGAGAGAATTAGAAGCAGCTGGAGGGTTGCCAAGCTAAAGTAGCATTCATGTTGTATTGGGCTTGGGGTGCTGAGGCCTCCAGCGCTGAGTGGCTAGGCTGGTGTGATGGCAAAGGACATTCAAACAGCTCCTCAGAGGACAAAGTGATCCTAGCATTCGTCATCTAGGCTGCATGAGCAAAGAAGCATTTGTCAGTCTGGTAGGGATCAAAATTTTTACAGTGTCCTCCGTATGCTTTGTGGGGTGCACAGAGGACTGAGAAGCCATCCCAGTGTGAGGGAAGCTCAAGGACACAAGTCTAGAAGCAAGGAGGTTGAGGGAAATTGCAGCATAAGCCATGAACTAAGAAAGGAACAGTCAGTGCCTGAGGGGTTGATGAAGAATAAGGGAGAATCTAGAAACTGAGGAAAGAAGGCGCTTGGCAGACAGCAGGCTCTATAGAAACCTCATCACATTTAAGATGAGGGTGGTGTATACTAGAGGGTGGAGCAGGCCCGTAGCTACAGCAGGGCCTCTCGGGGCCTGGCCCCCTGATTTACTGCCAAGGCCCCCTATCCAGTCCAGGCCTCCCAACAGCGAAAGGGAGAGAAAATAGTCCTTGTGTTTGTTTTGCATTTGGTTCAGAGGTCTGTGGGCCGACAAATTGTTTGGGAACAGAAAGTGCATTGTTTATTCTGGCCAAAGAGTGTGTGTGTGTGCTGCACAAAAAATTTGCATAATGGGTATCCCACAAGAAAAAAAGGTTGCCCCACAAACTGAAAAATCCTGGCTGCGGCCCTGGGGTGGGGAGAAAGGGGAGTGCTAAAGAGACTAATCAGGGAACAGTGTGTCAGAAGCAGGGCCCTGATGAAGTGAGGGGCAGAGAAGCCGAGGAGAAAGTGGTACTGGCTGAAAGACTGAGAGGGGAGGAGGAGCTGTGTGTTAGTGGGAGGAAGTACACAAGGGAAGGTTTGAGGGGGCAGAGGATACTTGAGTGTTGAGACTAGACGCAGGCGTGGCCGCTGTCCCTTAAAGAGGGGGATATAAGGGGCATCTCAGGGCAGGGAATCTCTGGTGCTGAAGATGGCTGCATGAAATCGATTTCTTGATAGGGTAGCTCTGAGTTCACAAAATACTGTGTCTAGGCTGCAGGTGGGATAGGTGTATTTAAGCCTGGGTGAGGGACAGTTGCTGATCCGAGTGGTCTTTTTAGGAAAAGTCCCTCCTCCACATAAACAAAATGGCATTTTGAAGAGGTCAAGCTGAGCCCTCCTTCCTGACACAACATTGAAGCATGAGCCTCCCCCAACGTACATACCACCTGTGGCCACAGTGCTGTATAGACGGTGAAAAACTTTGCAGTGGCTTGGTTTTGCTGTAGACCTTGACTTCTGAATGCCAAGTAACAGTTTCTGTTGTTGGTTGACACTCTGTGTAGTTTTGCCCGCCGACTTCACAAGGCTGTGCGACGTCTTTTGCCCGACTGCGACATCCGGTTTGTCCGCTCAGAGGATGGGAGTGGCAAAGGAGCTGCCATGGTCACTGCTGTGGCCTACCGGCTGGCAGCCCAACACAAGGCCCGGCAGGAGATCTTGGAGCCCCTGCGGCTCAGCCACGAGCAGCTATTGGAGGTGAAGGAGAGGATGAAACAGGAGATGGAGCGGGGCCTGGCCAAAGAGACCCATGATGAGGCCACCCTGAAGATGCTGCCCACTTACGTGTGTGCTACCCCAGACGGAACAGGTAAGGTGGGCATAGGGGGTGCGTGCGTGGCTGTCACTGAGTACTGTGATAGTCAGGACTCTGTGCTCTGAATGAACAAAATCTTGGTTCGGGCCCCATAATTTAGAGCCCTGTCTAAATTATGTCAGTTAAGCAAAAGTGAATGATTCTCTTAGTTCATATAATGCATCTTGAATTTAGTTATAAGGGCACTGAAACCCTGTCTGCTGGGAATCTCCAGCAGCTCTGACTTCAGAGATTTGCCAGCTGTTGCTTATACACATTTGGAAACTTTGTGCCTTTACAAACAACAATGGGAAGTCAAATCCTGCCTGCTGTGTGCCCTGGTAGAATTGCAACGCAGGCATAGCCTGGCTGTAGGCATGCTGACGCTTGTGTCTCTCTTACAGCAGAAGGATAAGTAATTACTCAAGGGGAACTCTGTTCTCTCGCTACACTAGTCCTTAATGTTGGTATGAAAAATTGATTGATTTCTAAGGGATTGGAGTCCTCTCCCCCAAACCGCTGGTGGATGCATTTAGTTTTTGCATCTTGTTCTGCTACCTCAGTTGACCCACTGGGGGTCAGGGAGACTTCTGTCCTGCTCCCCCCTTTTTTGATGCACCTTGGGGATTGTTGAAAGTAGAGACAGGATTTTGCATAGAGAAAACCTCAATCCCAGTAACATTTCCCTTTGGGAGAAGAGGCCTGTGTTATTTTTGCTTCGTGTTCCAGGTCACTATTTGCTCATACTGGGAGTCAGGAAGGGAGTTTCATCGTGTCAGATATGCTTGAGAGGGTGTATGGATGTGAATGTATGTATATTTGGTGGGGGTGGCTATGTGGCTGGATCAAAATACTTTTGTGCCAGAGAAGGAAAACCTAAATGTCTCTTCCCTCCCAATGAATTAACTTGGATCATGATCTGCCTGGCTGTCCTCCTGTGCACCGTCTGTTTCTTTCAGTAGCGCTTGTACAGAAGAACTTTGTAATGCTCCTGGAAGAACCCTTTCTACCTCCTTTGCATCTGCTTGCATCAGCTGCCTCGCTTTGCCTCGTGTGAAGGTTGCCTCTTTGCTGTTTTGCCTGGGCCGCTTGAGTCAGAGAGATCTCCTTGGCATCAGATGTGGGGGGAGTTCCAGACTTCCTAGGCATGTGTGGGCCCAAATCAGACCAGGACCATGATGCAGAGGGAGAGAAAGCTTAAGCATTCCCTCTTGCACCATTCCCCCAAGCTTAAAATGCCTTGGGGAGCCTCTATTCGCCCTGCTTGGGAAACTTAACATGTGCTGGTGGGCTATATATTATGTTTCCCTAGTGCAGCAAATAGAAGCTCCTCAGGACTCTTTGAACAGTGCAGGGTGAGGAGAAGTTGTAACTCCTGATCTACGCTGGGCTCACGCATGCCTGAGAGTCATGAAGCACCCAAGGCCACATCTGTCTACCTGGCCAGGAAAAGGGCATCATGTAATGAGGCTTTCAGTACCCAGTGCTGGTGTTCCTGGATTAGCTTGCTGTAGCAGCAGGCAGTGGCTCTAAAGGCAAGTTCATTTTGGTTTCAGAAAAAGGAGACTTCCTGGCCTTGGATCTTGGAGGCACAAACTTCCGTGTGTTGCTTGTGCGGATTCGAAATGGGATGAGGCGCAGTGTGGAGATGCACCACAAGATCTACTCTATCCCCCTGGATATCATGCAAGGAACGGGCGAGGAGGTGAGAGGGCCTCGGGGGAGAGGTGGGAGCAAGGGGGATAATTTCCTAAAAGAAAGGGGCCATAGCTCATTCTGTGCGAGCGGGTTCAGTCCCCAGCATCTCTGGTTTAAAAAGGCTGAAAAAAGCAGTATGTGGGCCACTTGCCTGACTCAGTATGATAGTTTAGCAGTGTTGCTTGTGACTTAAGCTGGCATCATAGCTGTTGTACTAGGAAGGGGTGAGGAGGATTGAACTAAAATATTAGGAGTGATAAATGAGCATTTTGGATGGTGTGTCAATCCTCCCACTCTTGGTGGATCATGTGAGGTGAGGCCCAGGGCTGTTCTCTACCATTCAGCCCTGGCCAAAGGAGGGAACGTCTGGGAGATCATGAATAGGCTGGATTGAGTCACGGGGATGCCACGTGGCCTCTATAAAAGCATTCTGGGCCAGGCTCGCTTTCTGACCTGAGCAGCGAGGGAGCTTTGCTGCTGCTTCCTGTGACAGAGCAGCCTTACTTTCACCTGGGATCTGGGCCTTAAGAGGTGGAAGTAAAAGATAGAGGTCTGTTAATCCTTCCATCTGGTGCAGAGATGTCACGAGAAGGTGGATTTTGTGCTCTAAAGCTGGGATCAGAAATTATAGCGCAGAGCTCTGAAGGTTCCAGGAAAGGGGCATGCAAAGAATGAGGGGGTGCTGTTTTTCCCTTTGCATCCCAGAACTTTCAGGATAGGATGGGAACTGTGCTGCTGACTTGGGAGTCACGTGAAAATGGATATTAATACAAAAAGAAATGTTGACCGTGTCTCCATTCACCTCTAGATAGAACATATAAATGTATCGTCAGTCAACCCATTCTGAGATCAAAGGAGTAGATACAACAAATATATTCAAGTCAAATTAAAATCACCCTTTCCTCCCCCCCCCCCCCCCCCCCATCCTCCCCCCAGCTGAATCCTGTCTGCTAGGCAGTGCTGTAGAAAATATTGGAATTGATAACTGGTTGCAGGGCTGGCCTCAAACATCTGATCTGAGCAGTGCTCTGAATTCCTTGCATTATTGTTATTTGTTGGTATTTTTGCATTTGTGTGTGTGCGCGCATGTGCGTCCACGACGACCGTGCTTTTTTTTGAACCGTGTACGGTTTCACTGACAGATATTTCCTCCTCAAAAGAGCAAACAGTGGTTTGTTGGGGCTGTTTCAGGTTGGGGGAAAATGGCACAGGGGAAGGCCTAAGCCCCCATTTACAGCAGTCCTAATACAAATCCCATTTCCACGGGCCTAAGAACTTTAGTTTCAAAAATCTCTGGAAGCTCTGAACTCTCAGCACACATCTAGTGGGATCAGGCCCAGAAACAGTGTAATTTATGGTTAGGCCCAGGGCTTTTTTTTTGTAGAAAAAGCCCAGCAGGAACTCATTAGCATATTAGGCCACACCCTATGCCTTTCCTTGGGTTGCCCAGGCGCCCCGCAGCTGCGGGGAGCCTGGGCAAGCTCCCCCCCTTGAAGGGAAGGGAAGGGAAGGCAGTTTAAACTGCCTTTCTTTGGTTTGCTCAGGTGCCCTGCAGCTGCAGGGAGCCTGGGCAAGCCGGCCCTTGGAGAGACCACAGAAGGCACCGGGAGGTATTTAAATGCCTCCCTGATCCTTCCAGGGCCCCCCTGGCCCGCCTGCTTTGGAGTCACCGGGGGAGGATCACTCTCCAGGACTTCCCTCTGTAGCCACACATGCAGAGGTTTGGCTGTAGTGGGTGTGGCCAGCTCTGAAGCCAGCCGGAACTCCGTTCCTGTGCGTTCCTGCCCAAAAATAGCCCTGGTTAGGCCTTTGCTCCATAATTGAAGGAAATTGGAAGCTGCCCCAGTTGTGTGATGGTTTCAGTTCGATTGGTAGTTTTACCATAATTGGAGACTCTGTAGGCCGGCAATCTCAGCAGTACTTAATGCCATCAGTTTTTAGCCTGTCTAGGAATCATGGACACGAATTCATCAAGGGTTTCTTGTCTTGCAGCTCTTTGATCACATTGTCCACTGCATCTCAGACTTCTTGGAGTACATGGGGATGAAGGGGGTGTCACTGCCTCTTGGATTCACCTTTTCTTTCCCTTGTTATCAGAACAGTCTGGATGAGGTAAGCACTTAACTCTGTGATTTGGGAATCTAACATTCTCTTGTCCTAAAGACAAGAGGACAACAGGGAAAACTCTATGGAGAATATAGACAATATGCTTGCCAGCACTGCTGTTACCCTGTTCTGATGTGTGGTCCCTTTCCCCACAATCAGAGTTTTATCCCTTTCTTTTTCTAATTTTGTTTCATTGGCAGAGCTTCTATGCATTCTTTTCACTTTTGTTTAAGCATAACTGCAGTATTAAAAATGAAATAAATGAACAGGAAAATAAGGAACCAGTTTCAATCCCATTTATGGTGAATGAGTAAGCTACTAAACACGCCAGTTTTAGGAATGATCTAAAACATGCCAGTTTTAGTAATGATTAGTAATTATTGGGTGCAGTTTAAAGTGGCTAGTGTTGTGTCTGGCTTTCTTCCATTTGTTCAGCAGTATTTGCAGTATAACATTGTTTTGCCATATGATAATAGCAGCGCAATTTGGAAACAGCAAGAAAATCAATATAAAAATGTGGGGGCTTCCACAACCACATTACCAGCCACCTTCCAGATGATTCCCCTTGCCAGGGCTACCTCAGTAGCACTGTGCTGGTCTGTACATGATAGGCTGGTGGCATAAGAGTGTTCAAGGTCAGAAAATACACAAGAAGCCAGGAGAAAATGGGAGGGTGCCATAAAGACG